GGGGGTTGACTGGCATTTACCTGATAACAACAAAATAATGTGCGCGTTTTGTTTCATGCGTCTATTACCGCCATCTGTTTCATAAGTAGGGTGGATTTAAAGCACTGCAAGTGCCTCCTCTTGGTGTGACAGTCATCATGGATTTGGGCTGTGCTGCCATAAGAAAGGAACCATGTGTGGATGTGTCTCCCTTTCTTTCTTTCTTTTTAATGTGAAAGTCTTCATATATATAAAAAAAAAGGAAAAAGAAAGAAAAAAAAGAATTCCACTCCGGGCCTTGTCCCTCCAGCGCCGCTGAGCCACCTCCTCCTCTTTGGGGTTGTCGACCACGAGTGACACCGCGTGACGCGTGAGATGCAAGAGGAGATCTCCTTGAAATCGCACGGTTGATTTATGTGAAGTGTGTACGCCCAAAGAAAAGGCCTCCACGAGTGACAGCGCGCGACGCGTGAGATGCGAGAGGATATCTCGTTGAAATCGCATGGTTGATTTATGTGAAGCGTGTACGCCCAAAGAAAAGGCCTCTTTTAGTTTCAGAGAAACCGTGGAAAAATAGATCCTCTCGAATCCAATGTTGCCTACCCCCCTAGCACCCGTGCCCTTTCGCACTGAGCTAGCTGACTCGTTTTTGAATAATCTCAGCTAGCTCAAGGCTCTGAAGCTTGCGGCCGACGTGTGGAAATTTCGTATGTATTTGGTGCCAGCACTGCCAGGATTATTGTCTGCGTCAGAGCTTTTTCGATATCCAATATTTACGGTATGAGGCAAATGGCTGTTCCTCCTCCTTTCACACGCTCAGTGAAAAGAGGATCTGGCACTTCTGAATGCAGCTGTGATGATTTCCACATTCACGTGAACAGGCGACCTCCCTTAGATGACTTCACTGGTTGTTGGGAGCAGTGGGCACCTTTAACGCGGACAACACAATGTCATGTCAGAGTCCAGTTGCACTTCCTCTGAGTTCCTCATATGGCCGTGGACGTCATCGTAGATACCTTTTTTTTTTTTTTTTTTTACCATAGATAGCTTCTCAGTGTCTCACAATCGATAAATAACTTTGTAGTCCTTCGGGACATCCGTTAAAATTGGAACGATACAGAGAAGATTAGCATGGCCCCTGCGCAAGGATGACACGCATAAATTAAAAAAAAAAAAAAAAAAAAAAAAAAAAA